CTGGTGTCATGGTGTCCCCAGGTTTAATTAATTAAGCACTCTCTTTGAGCCGACTGTCTAGATAATGTGGGACCCTCAACGTCTCACAACCCTATGGGCCTTCATGGCCTGTTACAGGGATAGCTTTATTTTACTTACCATGAAAATGTATGGGGGAGTGGAGGTGTAGCTGTTGAATGGTCACCTTCAAGCTTTGGCTAGTTTACTCCCATTGGATAGCTGATCACAGTGGTGGTGTGGTCTCAGGCATGAAGAGTCTTCGAATGATGGGGTCATGGGTTCGAATGCCACTTGAGGCATGGATGTCTGTGCATTTATACTGTGTATTGAGGAGGAACTGGAAGAGAGGTGTATTACGGTATGAGGACAGGAAAGCAGATAATGGTCCCTGGGTGGTCCCGTCCAAGTGACCAGTAATTTTCATACGTGCGCGCATGCTCAGTTTCTTTTATTGGTTATGCAGAAGTCACGTAATGAAAACAAAGCTATAAAATCAGGCACTTTCATGTTTACAGAAGTTCAAATAGGTTGTCATCTTGATAGTGGCAATGTTTTGGTGATTTAACTTTTTGAACAGGTAAAATTGCCTATGCTTAACTGATTAAGCACCATGCCATGAAGATGTATGGGGGAGTGATCAGGTTCAAGCCCTGGCCGCTTTACCCCCATTACCTTTTGGATAGGAGGTTGGCTGGACTCCAGAGCTGGTCTAGATGACATGGGGACTCAAACTCTGATCCCTGTTGTCCAGCCGTGTGGAGTGCAGTTGGCCCCCCACTATGAGAGGGGAATTTACAAAGTGTACAATTTATGAACGGGTTCCAACAATACTTAAGTAAGGGTCTCCCTGCTAGCCTAGTGGTTAGCATATTGGCCTAGAGATCTGGAGGTTCCAGGTTCAAACCCAACCACGCTGAATAGTAAATTTTTTTTGGAAACGAAATTTGTTACAGACTTTCAGTCTTCAGAACTGATCATGCTGCTGTATGATACACGAATGATTTATTACTATTTTCCTTTACAGATGACCACAATGGGCTTCTGGGATGGTGCAATGTCTGGATGTGGAAATCAGTAAGAGCAGGTAAATTGAGTTTATATAGCATTTTATTCAGTTTTATTTGTCAAGTATGTTGCCCCTACCTTCAGCCATTTTCTGCAGTCTCACAGTATGTTGAATGCATGCATCTAGCATTTGGTGAGGATCTGCAGGAGGTGGTTGAAGGTAGGGCAACATATATGTTCGTTTATTTCATAAAAGATGATGAAAACTAACGAGTCTTTGGTTTTGGCTTTGCAGGGAGGGGAGAGGACACGTGTGGGGTCTCGCCAAATTTTATTTTCTACGATACAGTGCGCAGCAAGGGCTTCGATATTTCCCAGCAAAACATGCAAGTAAACACCACTCCCTCTTCCCATCCTCCAGCACTACAAACTTTCACATTTCCCACAGATACACATAATGAAATATGGCGGGATCCCACACATGTCCTCTCCAGTGCAAAGCCATCCATGAGCATCCTTGTGTTCTCTCCAACTTGTGGACAAACAAAACAAAATTAGAATTGTATACTCCACACAGCAACTTGCTCCTCCCCATCTTAAGTTACTTGTACTTCATGCAAGTAACTCAAGCTGGGGAGCAGCAAGTTGCTCTGAAACATGAAATGCTGTAAGAAAAATTTTGCAATTACAAATAAAAAAACTGTCTACAAATAGTATGACCAACTACTCATTTTTAGCAGTGACAAGGAACTTATGATAGTACAATGGTCAGTTCCATCTTAAGTAAAAAGGGATACTCTTCCTACAAGCCATACATTCACTTCACCAAGATGTGGGAAGGAATGCTTTGAATTTCACCCCACCTGAATATACTCTTTTTTCAAAATTCATAAAACTTGACCAAATAAATCTTATTACATATGCTTTAAATAGGCGTGTGGCAGATGGACTTCAATACATCTCATTTTGAATTTAAGCACATTACAAATTGTTGAAGTGAGCCTAAAGAATATGACACATCTTGGTAGCCCTCACTTGTTTGTCCTAACCACGCACGTAAGTACTGACTCCTGAAACAGTGTTCAGATATTTCCAGTAGACATGTTCCATGTCGGTACCTGAATGCAAATTACACATTTTCTTCCTCCCAATGATATCCCAAATTTCATTTTCATCAAATGTGGAAGATGTCTTGCAAAAATAATACATAATTAGATAATTTACAAAGAGGTAAAGTTATAAATACAAACCACTCCATCCAATGTGACATATAAGTTTTTACTATGTTAAAACTTATCTCCCTTACATGTTTTGGTCCTTACGGGCCATCTTCAGAGGGAACATCATTACAAACTGGAAACTACCATCACAATAGGTGATTTGATTTAAAATATACACTTATATCCTACAGGTATAATGCACAGTACGCATAAAGTTGAACGTTTCACAATCACAGCAGCTTCCTGGTATTGTAAAGTTTTTAAAAGTTTCTAGATGTTATTTAAAAGACCTTTATTGTCAATAGTTAAAAATTTTTTTTAAACCACGTACGTTCGTGTCCGTACTCCTATCGTCCTTCTTGTATGGGGCAGATATTGTGCCGCCTGTCTATCTTGAGGAGGAGGTCCTTGATGTCATCCAGGGTTTGTTCGTGGCTTGCTGTGTTGTTTTCACTGATGGTAGTTTCCAGTTTGTAATGATGTTCCCTCTGAAGATGGCCCGTAAGGACCGAAACATGTAAGGGAGATAAGTTTTAATGTAGTAAAAACTTATGCCACATTGGACGGAGTGGTTCATATTTATAATTGTTAGTGTGGCGGACCAGAATGAAACAAATCAGAGGTAAAGTTGTCCCTATGCTTAACTAATTAAACACTACAGCATGAAGACGTATGGGGGTTTGATGTATAGATCCACATTTTGTTGATCTTGGCACTAGATGAAGACGAGTGGTCAGCTTCATGCCTCAGGGAAAGAGCCACTCTGGACGAGATGGAAAAGTGAAACTTCTTGCCCCATTGGGATTCAAACTCGGACCCTTGGCCGTCCAGCCTGTAGCCAGTCACTATCCCTGCCCTTTACGTAATTACGTTTTATATTTAAATATGTTGATCTACCACTGATTTCATGTGTATGAAGATTCCTAAACATTCTGATATGTGCCTAACATTTAATAACTTATCTGATTTTTTGAGATGGACACCCATCACCATAACTACATTAAGGTCCTTATCTCTTTTGTCATCACAATAATCATCTTAAAGAGAAGTCTTTTTTGTAAATAGTTAATATTAACTACTTTAGTTTTAAAAACATCAGAAAATGCTATCACAATTTTGCTGCCAATGGTTAATTTAAAGTGAAAATGTCATGACACACTCCAGAAGAAACAACTTTTATGAGGCTTAATGCAAATGACTGATTACCTTGTCTCTATAACTCCTCTTGCAGATCGTATGTGATCATTGCTGCACACCAACCTATAAACAAAACACAGACATTTACACTACTTCAGTGACTGCCTTGCTCTTCAAGTCAAAACAGAAAGTTTAAACATACTCCTGTAATAACAAAGAATGCAACATCTGCCCTTGTGCCAAACTACCAAGCAATGAAGGTATACAGGAGCAATGGAGGTGATGCTCCACACATTCTTAATCTTGGCACAAGATTGATGTCAGTGATCAGCTTCATGCTCTACACAAAGAGCCCTCAGGAGACAGGTTGGGCCCCTGGGGTCAGTCTGTGCATGATGACAAAGAGGAAAGCTCTCTATAGAGAACCAAACCCCGGTTGTCCAGCTCGTATGTCAGAATACAGTGCCGGAACTAAATGTGTTGTGCCTCATTTACGCGTGATGTGCTGCACAATGATTGTCACTGAGCACTTCAGTTACTGTATATGTATACCCAGCCTCCTGTCCAATCAGTAGTTGATGGCTCTTACTTAGGGGGTAAAGTGGATGGATGGGTCATGAAGCTAACCACTAACTTGCACCTAGTGCTGAGGTTAAGAATTCATGGAGCTCCAGTTCAACTCTCCCACAGGTCTTCATGGCACGGGAATAACTTTACATCTGTGACTTTCTTTAACCCTTCAGCACGGGCATTTAAATATTGCTGTTGTGGGGCCTCCTGCGGTAGTATTTTTTAACTGCTCATTTAAATTTTGCTCTAAATTATATTATGTATCATAACTTTTGAACTATATATGAGATATAATTATGAATTTTTCACTGAAATCATCTTAAAAGATGGTTTTATAATCTTACCTTATAATATGAGCGCCCTGTATCTGAGCGATGGAAGCAAGTGGATTAGAAGGTGAGTTTTGTATTGTATTTCTTGAAACATCCATCTAAACACAACCCTGCCTCACATTCACTACACCAATAAATACACGCAGATTCTTTCCTTTTAGCATGTTTTGTGCACACCACACATCTTTTTTGAGGCTTTGCCTTTTTTTTCTTGTGGCTGGAATATGCTCCAGAAAATGTCGTTCTGTGAGTCTTTTAGGTGGCGGCTCAACTAACGGACGGCCGTATACAGGACGAGGAACACCAGAACCATGTTTTCCCACGACACCTTGTGCTAGTGAAAGTCTGAACTTTAGTGTGTCCATGTTTTTGTTATTCGGGAGACACCGATATATTGTCCCGTAGCCGAGGTGATCTCTTCGGGGCATCACCATGAGACGTCGTATAATTATCTTCTTATACAAGGTGCCAATTAGTTCGTGGGATAAGGACTCTGGTCTTGACTACAGTCGAAGGAATTCGAAGGATGAAGAAAGTTAAGTGTAGAAAATAGTTTAATTAGAATTTCAAGAAATAGAATAAGTAAATCTTCAAGTACAATGGACGTACACTCGACCAGTCGTTGTTGGTCTCTCCTCTCTCCACACACTAAAACTTACTTTACAGTTTACAATTAAGTTCAGTCTCTCATTTCTTAACATACAGGGATATAATGAGCAGCTGCATAGCTGGTAATATGACCTTTTGAACCCGGGCCGAGATACTTCTCAACCCCTCTGTCTAGTCATAACATGTGTGTTCGTGACAGTCTTATCAGAGGTCGAGGTCAAGACATAATTTCTTACTGTCAACTGCGGTTTGGAAATGTGAAGATTAGAAAGTACATGTACATGTTAACTAAAAGAATCAAATTATTCCTTATAACTACTACCTATTTGTTACCTATGCCATACTACATCATACTACTTACATCACACTACAGTACATTATACGACACCTCCCTCCTTCTGACAAAAATTGTAGGCATTACTAAAGGCCTCAATTTTTTGTACATAGACCACAATTCTCTTTTCTTCACCCTATCTGATCTTCTAAGTGGTTGGACTTGCTCTCGCTCAGCGTCTTTCTCATTTAGTTCAATTAATTCATGGGTTGAATGTAAGGATTGATTTGACTCAGATTTCTTTGGTTGGTCTGTACTTACTTCTGCTACATGTACGCTCATTAGACTTCTTCTTTCGGGTCTGCCTTGAGTCAATGGAATGGGATCTGAGGATACATTAATTTGATTTATCGAGCTATTAGTGAAGGTTATATTGGAACAGATTTGCCTTGAATCTGCCCACCATTTCTTTGGAGAACACTGATTAAATAACCAAAAGGTACATTTGCGACAACATGAACAACAGCAACATCCACCACACCAAATGCAAATAAACAACAGTAATGAAAACAGGTTAGTGTACCATGAAGTACCCAATTTTCTCCAAGAGAATGTTCTTCTCTCCTCCTGAAGTCTTTGTTCTTCGAGTAATGTATTAACCTCATCGATTCTAAGACTAGCACTGTTTATCTCATTGATAGACGACATGATATTGGATAAAGGAAGGTTCAAGGGACATCTTTTAATTTCTCTTGCTCTGGGAGTGTCAAACAACAATCAATGTTTACATCTACCAGTGGAAGGATATCATCCTTGGTTAGGTTGGTTTCGTGATGAGAAAGTGGATATAGGATGCTTTTACTACCCAATCCTTTACAATCTTGTCTTAATACTAGGATACCTCTACCTTGCAAACGATCAGAATGTCGCTGTCCATCTTGACATACTGTAGTAAACAGCTCTAGTTGTGGTGCTACGTATAACCAAGCATTACATAAATGTAATGGTATCCACATAACTTGTCGTAATGGCAAGTAAATAAAGGTACAGTTGTCAGGTATTTTCTGGTTGTTTGGATGTAGTAAGGTAGCTACACAATCCACATTAGGTACATATGTCACTATTGGCGTCATCTCAGCACAAACATAGTTGAGGTTACTAGGCTGCAAACATTTTTCAAGTGTCCATATTGTCTGTTTAAAGAATCCACAAAACTGTATTCCTTTCTTACGTTCAGCACCTTCGTTGTAGCATTGGATTGCATTATTACAGGAAAGGGTATCACTCTGTATAAAGTAAATCTAGTTTCCAAAATTAATGGGATTATACACAACGTAAACCAAAAATGAACCTTGTGTATAAATAATAGATCTAATTAAGGAAATAAGTTCTGCAGATGAGAAGGGAGGAAACATTGTTTATTCTGGCATGGTTTCTTGTGTTAATAACTCATTAATTTTCTGAATAGTTATTATCTGAAGTTGGAGAACACCATTTGAGCGTGTAAATATTCATCTATCAATAAGTCTAATGTGCGTTGACATTCTTCAATCCCTCTTTCAATTTGCTTAATCAATTCACTTAGGACAAGGCTTGTATCAATCTCGTATTTTAATTTCGTATCCTGCAATTCTACGTTATGAGCTAAGTTTTCCAAAAATTTCTTCAATTTTTTTCATTTCTTAGTATATCCCTTGAAGTGGAATTCATAGTAACAATGGTTGATTTTAAAACTAACAACTGTTCTGATGCAATTCTTGAAATTTCCTTATGGTCTTTTTCCATTTCCATTATGTGATCATAATTTAATGTAACTTCCTCTTCCGTGGCTGTTCCAAAAAGGAATTTTAAAATTTTCCCACCGAAATCAAATAAATCTCGCTTACTTCTTGTTTGTTCTTGTCCAACTAAATCTACTAAAATATCTTTTAGCCTGTCAACAAGGCGTCGTTTGGATTGAAAGTAAGGAGCGCTTGGTCTACAATCAGTATAGATAAACCAAGTCTCATTACTCAGTCTGTTACACATTTCACTTAGTGTTACAATTCGTTGTTTAGTTTGTCTCCATAAACCTTTAACAGGTCTTAGGTCTACATAAGTTACAAGACTCCATTCCATTGGGAAAAAGTATATGCTTCCCATACTATCAAAGTAAACACCTGTTTGACTTGTGATCTGAGTTATCCGCGAACCCTTGTCAAGGTCCAGTGTTTCAGCACATACATCTGTATGCTGATCTATTTTCGTTACATACATATACCACCAAAGTAGGAACAAGACATTCATCCATGCCTTTTCCTTCGTATTTCAACCAAACCTGTAATATATGGTTTGGTTCTATTAACATGGGTTTTCACTTGCTTTTTACCTGTAGTACCTATTTTAGTTAAAGTAACATTCGTTCCATTTATCTCCTTGACCTCATATGGACCCTTCCACAGTGGATCAAGTTTGTTTCTTTGTTCACTGTAAACTAATACTAAGTCTCCTACTTCATATTGCTTACAGTTCCTAGCTTTATTTACCTTTTCACATTGCTTTACTTTATTAACCTGTAATCTCTCTTTTGCCTGCTGCCATGCTACTTGAAACTTCTGTCTGAATTCATGCACCAAATTTTCATAATTGTACAAAGGTTGAGGTTTTTGTTGCAACATTCCAGGTATTTTTGCTATTCTTCCAAATAATAATTCATATGGCGTGAATTTTGTCACAGTGTGTGGTGAAGTATTGTACGTGAAACAAGCGAAAGGAATCCATTGATCCCAATCATCTTGTAACTTGTTACTGAAGCAACGGAGATATTCAACTAAAACTTTATGTGACCGTTCCAGACTTCCGTTTCTTTCTGGGTGGTACACACTGGTTTTTAACTTATTTATCTGTAGTAATTTACAACAGTTTACAAACAAATTGTTCGTGAATTGCGATCCTTGGTCTGTCAAAATTTGATCTGGGATACCATATTTTAAAATAACATCAAATACAAATTTGTGAGCTATGGTTTCTGCTGAAATGTCTTCAGTTGGAACGGCAATAATATATTTACTTAGATTATCCTGGCATGTAAGTAAATATTTATTTCTTCTTGTTGACATAGAAAATGGACCTACTATATCTAGGTAAATTTTATCCCACGGTTGTTCTTGGGTGTCTGTTACTTGTAAATCGGCTTTTACCTTCAGACATGTTTGTTTGTTTAATTGGCAAACTGGACATTTTCGAATATAAACCTCCATGTCCTTGAACATGTGGGGCCATGATACATACAATTTTAAGTGTTCATATGTTCGTCAGATGCCTTGATGGCCTCCAATTGGACATTCGTGCATGGTTCT